TAATATTTGCATATTCTTTGCTGAGATTTGGCATTTTGTAGTAGGCGTAGGTATTAATCTGTCTTTACGCTTTAACTTAAACGAAGAGAACCTAGATGTCGCTTGTATGGTACTGCTCTTAAAAAATATCCAAAGTCAAACTAGGTCGTCAGCATATTTTGTTTAGACTTTAGATGATGGGTATATCTAATCAAAATGCCTAGTATCAATATAGGCCTAGGGTATTTCACCATTAAGAGAACCACAGTTCACACAAATCACATACCACATGATTGTCTGTCTTTCTCTACTTTGAAAATACTTCAATTTTAAATAATGTTTATGAACTTTTGTAATATAGCGATAAAATGAATAAATGATCACGATAAAGCTAGAAAACGCTATTATGAACTACCCACAAAAATTAAAAAGTAATGTAATGAATGTTATGACAAGAATCACGCGCATAACTATATGATGTTTTTTTTTTCATTTTGCTAAAAAGGTGTACAATTCTTATGAAAAGTATCTTTTGAAATATTGTTGAATGGAAGATGTCCACAAAATGTCACAATAATCAGTCTACAATAGCCTTATTATTGCATCCCTGTAATGTAATTGACGTTAATTGTTTATTTCACAGTAACGCAATTTCAAAAGAATAAGGAAAGAAAAGAGAGTGTACAGTTGCGTGGAATCTATTGGTTTTAATGAGATATTAAACCTAGGTGTCGGAAATAGTTAGGCCCATCTTACTTAATAGTTAGGACCATCTTATAGCTTTAGGTATCTTCAAGCGTCAGGTTGCTTACTGGGCCAATTGGACAAAGAAGCAACGGTTTTGAATTCGACCGGGTCTATGTGTCTGATTTTTCTTAACATGTAAGGTGCATTGCCTGAAATAATCTTGACAGTGATCTTCTCACCGATGTTGTAATGATGGAAAAGTCGGAAAGTTCGTTTCGGTTTTAGCCTATAAATGATTTGGACATTTACAGGCTGAAACCAAAATGGGTCATCTTAATAAGATCTTTTACTTGGGCTTGTGCATTTCAGTCTCTAGATCCCCAGCGCGACGCAAAAAAATCTTAGCTGCTCTGCTAAAAGTAAGTGCAATGTGGGTCGGTACAACCCCACGTGACCACGGCTGCTGCAAAGCGCCCGAAACTTCGGGCCGTAGTTATTATATTTTTACAACAAGTTAACTTATACATTTTGTGTTATAAACTGTTAAACGTGTTTTAATTAAAGGTGCGATATGTTTTACCGTATCTAGAGTCTAGAACACACCAGTCTAATAAGTTAATTGGTTCCGTCACCACGATTTTATTACCGCATTTCCGCTAACGATAACCAATAATAGATAGTGATATTGTAACTTAACATCCGCTTTGATACTAACTTAACCCCTTTGTCCTTTACTTTCAATAATATTTTTTTTTTACTTTTATCAACATATTGTTTTGTAGTTTGTATCAATTGTACATTTGAAAAGACTTTTTGTTCGCCCCCGAAGTTCAATGGTCAAACGCGTTTGCGTCAACCACGACAGCTGGGTTCGAGTCCCGGGGAACTAATGAATTGTTTCGAACGGATAAGGCGCAATAGTTTGAACTTGCCTATAAATAAAATCCACGGCCAAGAGGGTGCCGTGGCCACGATAAAAAATATGTTCTATAGCGACCAATTGCGATTTCTAGAGAACCTTTGCTATTAAAGACATTTCCTGAGATAATTTGTCTAACAGATATTAATATTAATACTTGCCCTCAAGGAGGTCAACATAAATTGTTCGATGCCACTCGTCAAGCAATTGCGCCTTGGCATTGTTTTTGCGAAAACTTTATTTCCGTCAATACAATAATGCGTGGTGAATTTAAAATCTATGTCCTTAAATGCGGTACTTAAAATGAGCTTTGAGAAGGGACTACTAGTACAGCGTATACCTACAGTTTTTGCGGATTCTGTAAGGTCTTATGAATAAAAAAATTTAGTATACAAATATATGCTATGCTATACTTAATCACTTTTATATTTTAAGAAAACAAGCTAGTTAAGCTTATTGAAAAAGTGGTCATCATGCTCGACTGCATACAACGAACTTCAGGGTCTAGTTCAAATTCGGATTTTTAAATAGAAACTAGTAACAGCGAGAGCATGTTTCAGAGTTTATAGCTCAGCGGTGGGACTGAAACGATTAGAGATTTTTTTACAATGGTATTAATTTTCAATAACCTTTAAAATTGTTGAAGGCTTATTTTGTAAAATAACATTATACGTAAGCCGTCCATTAATACAGCTAACTGGAAATGTTTTTTGCTTCCTTGTATTTATTTGACCTTTAGTGACGTAGAAAATAGTATAATGTGTTATAAATATTAATTCTGACTTTCATTATCTACCTAAGGTTATCTCATTTAGTGAGGCAATTAATACGAAATCAAACTAATATAGACTCGGGCCAAGTGTAAAGTGGAACCAGTATGTTATATATTTATAGCTATTTATTATAGTCGGAAACTTATCAGCCAAAGTTAGTTCTTCGATCTGAAATCGCATGGAAATGGTTTAGCCGTTTATAGTTAGCCTATTTTAAAAGATGAATCAAGATCTTAACAGTGAACAGTGAAGCTTTCCTGGGTTATCAAAGAGTAAAATATTTTTTGATTCAGACAGGTAGGTAGATTTAAAAAACAGAGGGTTTAACAAACTCGTAAGCTTAATCCCTTTATGATTGATCTCAATGGTTATATTCATTTGAAATCTTTAATATTTTTTACATTGCACGTGAAGACACTATATAATTAAAAATCGAAAATAAATTGAAAAACATTTCGACTCGTGCAGGACTTGAACCGGCATCGTTAGCGTTCCGTGCTCTACCAATTGAGCTACCGAGTCCTTATAAACACTCTGAAAGGTATCTACAAGTGTATCCCTTTAAGATATGCTGTTGATTGTTTTCTGGCCGTTTAAGTTGCAAATATTCCCTTAAGGAAATGGCGCTATGATAAATTCTCCCACAGCATACTGATAGGCTGCTGAAAGTCACGAGGTGCGAGACCTTTGAGAATGCGTGATGAGGACGACAGCAGTGACTGTTGGCTGTTTATTTTAGTAGCTGTCAATGATTACTAAACAGCAACAAAATGGCCGATTCCGCGTGAAGCCTATATGTTATTACCCTATCTATATTCATATTACAGAATGAAAATATCTCAAAACCATTGTCGAATTTACGAATTTTACAATTAGTAAGATCAATATATTTTCTATTCGGTTTTGAAACATACACATTATCATATTACAGCATTATATACTTATTATAAAGATTATGTCATTATTACCGAGCGAAAGACTTACTTTCAACGTATAGATTTACAGATAAGTAATGATGAAGAAAACGTGATTCAGCGTCAATTATATTTGACAAGAGAACAAATAAATTGCACTTTTAACGTTCGTTTTACAACCTATTGTAAATAGTTATATTGTTTCTGATTACCTAATTAAATGGAGTAAGGGTAACTAAGAAGCCATACCTCAATGCAAATATTGCTTCGAGTTAAATGCAATCTCGTTGTCATACTTTCGTATGGCTTCCTAGGCTGAGTACTAGAAAGTTAAAAATTAAACCGAAATTCGCCATATTAAAACTTACTACTTTATGTAATGTTATAAGTATGAAGAAAGAAATGAACTTCCGGTCTGTTTAAAAAGGGTAACGCAATCTCTATTAATTACTTTTAAAAAGTGACGAGAGTTCATACATGAGTTTAAATTTATTTCTCATCAAAACTATTTATCGATATCCTTAGAATATTATAAACTCTGTATGTGGCACTTTAGTATCATTCAGAATTATCATCGATAATGTTGTGAAATAAATATACAATAAAATAAAACTAATCGCTCCATTTAAATAGTAATTGGTCAACACAAACTAAGGACCTAAAACTTACAGATATGTATCTACTCTATAAAATACTTGTTAAACTATAGAAATGGTAAAAACAAGCTTCTAGTATGTAATTGAATAATTAAATGAAATTTCACTTAAAGAAAAGCTATGAAGTATATTACACAAAATACATTCTTCGATTAGGATAACTTGTTTACTTCATTATGGTGCCCCAAAAGCTATATCTATTGTTTACAGCTCTTAAAAATCCAAGCCACAGGCATCCGTTGATTGTCCATTGCTTCAGCGCAAAAAAGAGGATATGACAAAACATTGGTTGAACATTGTTATAGATTACAAAATAAATTTACCCCACAGCAGCATTTATTTCGTCGAGTTTTGTTTACATATTTGCCACTATACGGTAGTATAGTAGTACCGTATAAACAATTACATTACTTATGAATGAATACTATTTTCTTCGAAGTAAGCATATTGTATACGTGACAAGAAGTTGAAAATAACGTTTGGAAAAACGCGCGGCATATTTAGAATTTTGTTTGAATATTTCGTAGCCTCTATGATAATAACGAGTTGTTAATGCAGGGGGGAATTCCGGTAAGGAGTTAGGTACGCAAGTTTAAATACGGTTTTCCTCGAAAACCTCTAACAGATACCCAGTAATAATCTTAATTGATTGAATTGCCTGTGATTTTGCCTTGCGCATAAATAGTAGGAAGGCTGGAATGTGAAGTTATGCGACGATAATCATATTCTATCTTTTCAACCATGAATAAACCCTACCAATGTAAGAGACATCGTAGTAGTGATATAAAAGCTTAGTACATTGTATTTCCTACGTCGATAAATTTTGTTGGCGTTTATATATTTTGACTCATATAATATAACTTAAAAACGATATAGACTTACTGGAGAATTGTTGAAGAAACAAATTAATGTTTGACACAAAAACTATTCGTGGATTGTTTATAATAATTGAACAGTATACAGAGTATAGTATCAACTTGCTACTGTCAGATGCCTTAAGAGTTAGATGAAATGTTTGTCTATCGTGAAAATAATATTAAAAAAATTACACAAATTAAAATTAACTGTAGTAATGGGTGATTCTGGTAAACGAACATAAGGGCATTTTGTACTTAATGGATACCTTCAACTATTTTGTTATTGTGGAAAGGTAAAGGTTAAATTTTCTATTGGTAAAAAGGTAAACATCGCAGTGGGAGATTTTAAACTTTTGTTCCCAAGATAAGCGGCATAAATCATTATCGCTTGTCACAAGTTCTGAGTTACTGACCCCCTCGATTTCTCAGTACAGTGTACTAGCGTACTGTAACACTGTATGCAGGATAAAATGGAAACTTATTTTTTTATCAACTTAAGTACAGCATGGTTTAAACATGGCGGTCGATCGCCGGCGCCACTCAGTACATTCTCAACCGTCGGCGGAGATACGCGCTAACACACTTTAAATATATTACGACAACTTTCAAATAAATCATTACCATTTGTTCTCAATGTGTATTGTGCGTTAACGAGGCGAACTTTTTCATGAAAACAACCTTGACGAGTTATAGTTTTCGACTTATTGAAAAAACGTGTGTGCTCTCGACGCGTGTATGCTAAATAGCCGGCATTTCGGAACACGTTCAATTGGTGAAGGTTAACAATAGGCGGAATAAGGACTGACCAGTGTTTTCCAAAACGTAACTGCATTTCGGGTGAGTGACATCTGAAAGGAGCTAGTTACAGCTTTATTTTTAAACTCGAAACACGAGGGCGGGACGCGCAGACGCAACTATTTTTGGTTCACGACTCGTTCACACCTAGGCTTAGAATTCATTCTCACGTTTCAAAATAAATTATCATGGCGTTTTGCGGTATATTAAATTATACGATAGAAAATTTAAATAATTAATAATAATTTTATCAATTAAATATTAGGTATTTTAAAAGGGCACGCACGCTTCCTATTGTTTATTTTAATGTAAAAAGATATTGTTGGTGAATTAAGTGATTTATTATATAAAATGTCTGAAGTTGTAAGTAAAAACTTTCTAGGATCACTGTAATGAACATAACTATGAACATTTTAATGTCAAAGACCTTCTGAAATTCAATAAACCGAGAGAAAGTTTAGTTACTCTGTTTGCTTTATCGTCTATAACTATTGATAAGTTTACAGGTTCCTATATAAAATGTATGAATTTTCATCATGTTAAATAAAAATATATTTTAAACACTAGCAAATGTTGACACTTGTCAACGAATATACGCTACCCTAGTGAACTATTTATGTTTTATCACACTTTAAATGAAGTACGAAATAATTTTCTAAAAATTATATAAATATGTAAAAACATATCACTAAATGAACATAAACATTGGTTTTATGCATTATATAAAGAATAAAATAATCTTACTGTATTACTTGAAATTATATAAAAGCATCTGTTTCAATTTTGAGCCTTGAAACAAAAAAACTTGTTTCGAGTGAACGTAAATTCTGAACGACGCAAATATATGTATTGATACATAATAATGTACACGCGGTCTACTGTAATCAAATATTCGACCTTTTTGAAACTTTACACTATATTATTTACATACAGTCGTGTCAACTCGAGGTGTTTCTTATGTGGTTTTGAACTAACAATTAATGTCCTAATATTTTTATAATACTTATTATTATTATTCAATAAATATTTTCAAATAAGTTTAACTAATATATCGCGTTTTAAACCGTCAAAGTGTTTTATTGAAATGTGTACTACTCGCGTAAACTATAGACAGTATTTATGAAATCACATATTCAAAATAAGTAATAGTATAGAAATAGTGTTTAATTATTTCAAACTAGCTGTGTCAGCGACTTCGTCCGCTTAGAATAGTAAATTTGGGCATCCAAATTTGTTTTTGCAAACCTCCTTTTGATCATAAATTTAAGCTATTATCAGTAGACAACAAATTAAAAAATAGTATATATACTATTTTTTAACGAGAAATAATTATTTTCCAAATTTTTTAGATATCCCGAATCGTTTTTGCAGCAGTACGCATCAGAAACCCACAGAGATTAATTATTTTCCCCTTTTTTCCACATTTTCCGCTGTTTCTTCGCTCTTATTAGTCACAGGATGTTTTGTAGGTTAAAAGCTTTCTCGATGTATTAATATTATTATATTCTGTACCTACACACAAATAATTTTTCAATTCGAACCAGTAGTTCCTGAGATTAGCGTGTTTAAATATGCAAACAGACAAACAAACATACAACTCTTCAGCATTATATATTAGTATATATAGGTTAAAAGAAAATGAACAGACGTAAGTTCACGCCTAAATTAGTTAAATGATACAAAGAACGAAATGAAAAAAAAAGAGTGAATAACTTCATTGTATTTATTACTGAATGACAGTGGATATTATTAATGGTCCTATTCCAAGAAGTGTGGACCCAAACCATTAGCAGCCGTGGGATTAACCACGGCGCTTGTTCAAAGGAATTCTTCTGGCCATGGCGCCAAAAGCTTTATGAATGGAGCCTAACGTTGTTGATATTTATTATTTGGCGGGAATTGTAACCCGTGGTGACGAAAATAATACATAATATTAAGATTGGTAGTCCATTTTTGAAATAGTTTTGTGCCGAGTTAGGTTTTATTGGATTTTTTAGAATGGTTAGGAAACTAAGCAATTCATAGAAGGGTTCGTAAATTAGGGAACTAGCTGAAAAATAACTCATGAAATTTCAATACTCATATAATTTACAACAGATGAGAAAGTAATTTCGTCTACTTAGTAAGTACTAGGAACTAATTGCTTAGGCATAACTTGTATGATCAGATAGGTATACAATACTGTTTACATATGCGGTCTGATATTCGATATAACATATTAAATAAAACGTTAAAGTTTCGTTCGAAGTTTCCGCAGGTATTCAGAAGCTAACGCCCTATGTTTGTCCCTATGTCGTTATGTTATAAAAAAACAACAATTGATTTATATGACCAATAACTTAAACGTTAAAAGTTAGTACGATTTGCGTACAGACTATAAAGAAGAGGTATATATTAAATTGAATATGAGGAAACATCATTTTACGTTAACATGATACAATTCATTTGTTACATTATTATCAATATATGTATGAACTATTAACTTTATTTTGACCTTAAACCCCTAGCCAAGGGCACACGAAACTAATAATAACGACAATGGTATCAAACTCCTAAATTTACATTTTCCTCATTCTCAGAAGGCGAACGCACACCATAGCTACATTTATAGCTTATACCATAGTGAAACCAGTTTTGATAACGAAAAAGCTAATATTAGCCATTCGTACTCGCTAAACAGACATCGACAATCAAGTCTATATTACGCTAATTTGTTGTCTGATCGAATCGATAAAGTATCTTTGAAAACTATTTGAATTTTATGTTAGTGCAAACAATTGGTATTATTATTTCTTGTTCGTATTTCGATGATAATTAAGTAATAAGTACACAATTAACCAGTTTATACTGTCTTTTGTGATATTCGAATTATAATAAAAACATAAGTAAATATAAAAAAAAGAAAATCATATACCTAATTAAACTAAATGCAGAATCTATCTAGATTAATATTATAAAGCTGAAGAGTATGTTTGTTTATTTGTTTGTACGCGCAAATCTCAGGAAATACCTACTGCCTTAGACTGCGAATAAACAGAGGGAAATGTGGAAAAACAAGGGGAAAGTTTGAAGGCTTTCGGAAAAATATGATATTCATGTATTTATTTTATGTCACCATGTTACCTAAAGAGGAGCTTATAACTTAAAAAACCTTTTCTACGTAAATCATGCACGTTCCTCTCTTTAATTAATAATTTTTGTTTAAAAAAGGAATTGTTAAGACTTTTCTACCCAACCCGAACGCAACTGTTATGATTAATACCGGGTTTCGAACTCTGTACCTCTCGGAGTTAAGTTCAAAGGCGCGAGTGATCTCACTTTTACATAAATCCTTTTAACTGGTCTTTTGTAGTAAGTATACTATAGAGTTGTTATTTATATAATAAACAATCTAATTATAAGTAAATCACTAAACACATCTTGAAATATAAACTTTAATTACTTTCATACACTCAATTAACTTAATTAATTATATTTATATCAGATAGACAATTTAATTATTGTAACCTCCATACAAGAGTATTGAATATATTCTAGAGATTTCGTTTCCTTCCTTTGTATAATTCATAGGTTTATTTATATTAAGTTTACTTAATTATTAACCGTTAAGAAGCTGTACTGTACTAATAATGTTTTTTCTTAAAATTTACTAACGATTTTTGCGTAGTTAACCTTAAATATTTTTTTAAGACTGTGTATATACGGGTCCTATACCAGCTTAGAGTAAAATATTCACATCGTAAAGATGTAGGCTTCAACGATTATTACAGTATTATAATGTCGATACTTGATAGATTATTTTAGACTACAGTATGTAAACACTCTCACAAAAGCTATTAATTAAAAGTCTGATAATAAAAAGACAGCTGTACAAATGTCAGGCAACCAGCGATTGTGGAAAATTTTACAATATGTATACTTACTCGTTGAAACCAGTTCATGCAACGTGTCTAGAAATGTATTTCTTCTCAAAACTTAACAAAAAGTATGCTGAACCTGCTTACTACTTGGATGAGTTACTAGAACACGTGCTTAAAAAATAAGTACAACTCTACAGGTCAGTAGAACCCAGTGTTAATATTAAGAGGTAATATTCGACGGCCTCGTTGGTCTAATGGTAGCAATGTATATCTAATAATCAACGGGTCTTAGGTTCGATCTCCGCCGGGTCCAACAGATTTCTAATCTATATCTATACTAATATATAAAGCGGAAGAGTTTGTTTGTTTGTTTGAACGCGCTAATCGCAGAAACTACGCGTTCGATATGAAAAATTCTTTTTGTATTGGTTAGAAAATTTGTCGAGGAAAACTATAAAACATCGCACTGTGATTAATAAAAGCGAAGATACAGCGGGAAATGTGAACAAGACGGGGGAAATTTTTCATCTGTGTGGGTTCAAAGGCGTACGCTGCGAAAACGGTTCAAGATGCCTAAAAATGTGTGTAAAAGAATGATTCCTCTTTTAATGATCTACACAAAAGTCCGCGACGCTATTTATCTATCTTTTAAGATTAACTTAGGTACAAGAACGACGGGATGAGATGCGATCGCCGTCGTGGCTAATAGCTTAAGTTTATAAAAATGCAAAAACTAATATGGATGCGCAAAATGACGATTCTCGCGGACGAAGTCACTGGCAGAGCTAGTCAATTTATAATTTTTCTGAAACATATTTGTCTTCGCTTGGAAATCTGGATTCTATATGGGTGGTAGGAATATCAAAATACCGTCCAGGTCACGCACCACAGTCCGCAGACGAAAAAGCCGTGAAGTTTTATCACGTTTCGGGTTCAGTCTGTGGATTTCGAAATAGGTCGACAGCACACCGTGTGAGATACTATAGGCCGGGGTATTACACCTAGCAAGTGAACTCCATGATTGTCTGTCCTCCTCTATCATTAAAAAAAGAGGCTGAAGATTCAATACCCTTAAAATAAAACGCGCAATTCAGTCGTAGGACATGCATAAGTGTCTGTTTCACAAAAAGAAGATGGGTGGACGAGGGAGAATATTCGTGCCACACCCGGTATTTGAAAGACATATAGTAATAAATGGATTTCATAATTTTAAAATTTACAAACACAAAAGAAACTTTCTTCGTTTTTTAACCTTGTTCTAATTTGTAAAGGCAAAATGCTTTTAATTAAAAATGCAATACAAGCAGCGCCATGTAAACGGGTTCTTTATGGAAAGTCGTTGAGACAGCATTCCGTGCAAACCATCTGATTTATAAATAAGCGGATGACAGCTCTTCTAACTTGGTAGAATGTTGTCTAATTAAAGTTACTGACGGTAGCATAAAAAATTGTACAACAACGATATCTTACAGGTATCTTATGTCTAGCTTCGTCCCTTAGGATGAGCCTTCTTCTTCCTCATTGTCAATTATGACATTTTCTAAAGGCTCTTTGCGCCATACTTAGTTATACTCTTTAAAAAGGTGCGAGTGGTTCTATACACTAAAACCATCTCCACAAGACTTGGAGACTCCAGTTTTTCTGGAATATTGATAGTTAAAGCAGTAGCAATAGACAAATAGCTATGCGTACTTAATAACTTTTGTCTAGTTGTCAAGGGGTTCAAATTGATGGTAAAGAGATATAAAATATATGCGCGCTCTTTTATTTTTTTTATTTGTTTCTTATTAATTATCGAAATGTACCATAACTTTCCTTGATATGTGGGTGGTCTATTTCACTATATTTAAGTTTTTAACAGCTACCTCATAACTGTATAGCCAAAGAAACAAACTCTTAAGCATCTTCTGCACAAAAACGATGACACCGAATTGTCTATGGATATCAATGATTCAAGAAAATTCTTCATGTTTATTTCGGATAATTCATATATTTATATCCTAATACGCAGTAGGAACATAACCAGATAAACCTGATTCTGACCACCGATGTGTTGAATGACATAGAACTTGAAAATTTACATAAAATTATGCGATATAAACATAATATCAAACGAATAATTGGCACAGTTACGTTTTCAGTAGCGATCCAACTAGTGGTGTCCTTTTTACAATACAAATTTTATTACAACATAATTAAATCGTTTTTTCTAACGTCACCCTCTCTCCATCTCTGACATTTTCAGCGACATAAACGTTAAGAGTAAGTTTCAGAAACCTTCTAGAATAAATTAAGTTCGACAGTTGTTTGCGAATTGGGCCATTTGTCTATCATCTTAATAGGTTATCAGTTGTTAATAATAAATAAGATAAGTGCTATCATAATTATTGTGTAAACATTGAATTGTTGTTCATCCCAGCAATCACATTAAATCTTACCTTTGGAATTATAGAAGTGATCCAAAGCTTTTGATTCTACAAATTCTTCAAGTTGATTAGTGAACTATGATTACATAGTATGTAATATGTCGTAATGTTAAAAAATAATTATATGCAAAGTTTATTGAAAAATTAATATAAAAGTCACATCTACGAAAATCTTATTATGTTTAAATTGTGTTAGGCTTTCACGGCCATCGTTCAGCATATCATTGTTTTTCGTGCTGTTCGGCCGACGTGAGCGAGAAGAGGTTCTCGACGTTTCGCCATCACGTGCGGACGGCATCATCAGGAGATGTTAACTCCTCTATTGCTCGAGCTCATTTTCGTATTTGTTTCTCTAATTTCGTTTCACAAAACGTCATCAACATCAGCAGCAAAGTATTTCCCATAAAAGCTTATACAGCTTAACGTGTATATATTTAGTATGTACCTGTATGTAAAAATTATAAAGATCCAAGACAAGATTATTATAGCGTATTTGTCGTTTATCCTATAATGGAAGTTTCTTCAATGATAAATATTATCGTATTGTTTTGCGCTGATTGTGACCTTTGACGGCCTGTTACTATATTTGCAAAACAACCCCTGCGAATAAACAAGTCGTTCTATAATTATACCTATAACTTTAAAGTATTCATTTATACAGGGAATTTACAACAGTAAACAGAAATTCAATAATGATGACGTTGATACATCTTAAATTGAACGCAGTTTTATCAATGTTATCATTACCATCATCAACAAAATATAGTAAATTACAATAAAATTAATACGTAGTGTATCAGTAAATTATCAGCGGAAACTTTTACCGAACACAGGCTAGCTTTTAGTATTAAACAAAAATCATGTAACCTTATCGGTACTAAAAGTACAAGTTTAGTTATTTACTTGCAAAGCAGCGAAGTTTAGGCTTTATTTGTTGTATTAGGTACCAAATTACAACTTAGCGATCGCTGTCAATTCCCTTAACAAAATATGCATTACTGAAGATGGCTACTGGAAACTACCCATAGAATTTATCCTTGGTTCCTGGTACTAGAATATATTTGAAAAATGTAAACTTTATCAACATAATCAACTTGAGTTTACCAAACGCCTCTAGTTATTTCGAATCTTAGCATCGTATACTTTCCATTGTTGACTACTGTTGTGAACGAGACGTCTTTTTCTTAATTGAAGTTCTGAGTACTATTAGTAATGATTTTGACGCTGTCCAATGCGTTTATAGGAGACCACAGTTTTAACGGCTTTAAGCTTAAAATAGAGTAAATAAAATCGAAATTACTGAAAAGACAGTTTTGTTATAATCTTTTTTTTTAATTACCACTAAAATTAATCTACTAAAGATCTTTTTTATTCGGCATAGGTATTGAATATGATTGTAGTGTACGCATATAATATATAACACCAGTTGAAGGGAGTTCATACGGTCATCGATCTACTTTGTGAACCTTATCGCAGGGCTTAAGCGCTTACAACTTTTCCACAATGCTAGCTTGATGTGTTTTCCATCGAAAGTATAATAATTCGTATCTTAATGACCATAATTCTTAATTATTAGTACCAAGTTTCCATCGCCTTCGTGACTTAATGACACGGGCACGTAGCCCTGGGTTCGAATTTTAGGGATTATTCAAAAAAGTATAATTAACAACTTGTTAGAAAAAGTATTTGAAACAGATACAGGAATGTCGTGTGCCCCGAGTACACGAGATTTAGCTTTTTAGTTTCCAAAAAAGACGCTGTATTTTTAAAACTATGTAATATAAATAAACCGGCTTGCAGCAGTAATAAAACTAAAAACATATTTTAGTAGTAGCATTAGAGTCCGTCTTTACTCTGAGAAAATTATAAATACATCGAATCAAATGTTATCAACATTAATTACAGTAATTTAACTTGTAAAGAAATATTTTTAAGTTCACGATAGAAAAATACTAAAAACAATAGGTTAAACATAATATCGCAATAATATCAACACAAATTATTTAAAATACAGTCGTTTTACGTATATCAATTGAAAACAGATGTCTACGTATTAACTGCGCAATACGTTTTGAATAACTATTAATTCATGCTTTATTCAATAATAATGGATCAATATTAAGCACCATTTACGTACACAATTGTTTCTTTTTCTTAAAACGAAACTAAAAAGGCAAAAAAATATGTTAAGTAATGCTTAAATAGGCTTATTTATGCAGACTATACAAAAAGGCTAAATTAACTTGCAAAAAAGAGCAACATAATTATTCGTTTTAATCATCAATCTACAAAACCTTAACCTTCTGAAACCGAAACGCCATTAAACTCAACGGCTTTTCCATCTGTGGAGGGTGACTAGTGATCCACTTTTTAAGTAATGACGAAGTCCAACATGTTTCATAAGCATTAAAAATGTTGAACCCAGTGGGGATCGAACCCACGTTTGATTATTATTAGCCATTGCTTACCAACCATAACACCAACGAGCCAGTTGAAAAATGAAAATGTGTATAGTTCGTGACCGGAGTAAAAGGGTTTTATTTTGTCACAGTGGACACAATGGTGCAAAGGGTGGCGACGGACGAGCGGCCATTTGAGACGCCGTCATCTGATGAAAGCGGCTTGGGCAGAGACAGTCCTACCGATGACTCGGAACCAGAAGCAGCTTTAGTAAGTTTACTCAAACTTAATTAAGTTCCCAGTGGGAATTCCCAGACGTAGTATGACTCAATATATGATGATAACAATAATGTATACACGGTAAACCACCATAACTAGGTATGTACTAATCGCGTCTACAGACACAACAATTTCATATTAAAATAGAAACAATTATTATCTATCTAATCAAGTATTCTGGCTGATACAAATTGAAATATAAGAAAAAATATCCAATCATTTAAGACGTTGTCAAAACATAATCATTCCACGGCCACCTTATAAAAATTTAAAATGGAAATAAAAACGCCGCAATTCCAACATATCTGCCATGCCTCCTTCGTTCATTGATGTACTTGTCGTTGTGGTAGTTAGCTACCATACATTAGCTGTTATAAAAAATATTACGACCGTGCGCAACCAAGGCTGTAAGAATTTCGATGTTTGTAGAGGGACGTGTAAACGAAGTAACTCAATACATGCAAATATTCAAACAGATGTAATCGATGATCTTGAAGCTTGCCCAGAATGCTGTTGTGATGAAGAAATCTTAAACCAAACTTGAAATATATGGATATATATTGCAAAGTCTTGTAAAGTGCCATGTCCGTGTTGACGAAGAAATTGGGAAGGCAAAGGAAATTACGGAATATCGCCGAGAAAATTGTCAACGGATGTCTGTTTGCTACGGTTTCTTTGGCCTTTGCAGAAATAACGTTAACGGTGTTGTTGATTATTCTCTAAACACCAAACGCAATGGCTGTTTTAAGATTATGGAATAGGAGGAAACAGATTGCAAAGAAGATTGGATCGCTTCTCTTTGATTCGTTATTATGGGCGGCTTTTATTTTTGGTACTTACATTTTAATTGCATTCTGATGATCTTGTAACGTACTTCTATTGCAATAAATAAAAAACAAAACATAAGTAATTCTACCTAAATAAAAGCTCCGTTTAATTTGTGATTTAATTTTTAAAAGATTTTATAATTCACGCATGGGAATTCTTTAAAAACCTTTAAATATTTTTTTACATGTGCACATAATAATATTTAAATTTTCATAATTTGGCAGCCTTCCCATTCCGAACGTATTCTACCAATGATAACCAATCCGTAGCTATCTAGGCTAAAATATTCGGTCAACTTTTACTAACTCATACTTGTCACTATGACACTTTAATTTGATTTAGACATGGACAGTGTACAGTACCTGCCAAAAAGAAATAAGCGAATAAGTTTAAAGTATTTCGTATATACTAAATAGTGAGTAATTGGGTTTTGTCGAAAACGCAGTTACGCACTATGGTTTACTAACAAAAGTTATAAATATCCCAATTTTCATGTCTGAGAAAATATTATCAAATATCTACCAGGGTGATACATTGGGGACTGATGGTGATGCATTACTATGTCGTAAAATTGAGGAAGATTGTGTAAGGATTGTTCAATTTAAATCGCATTTAGTTAGTATCGTATTAGTCGTTATTTACTTAGATTTGAACGAGACAAAAATTACGACTTAGTGAAGATTTAGGTATTTTGTTTTTGTCATCTTGCCTAAATGAATCGCGAAGAGTTAGAGAACATCGCATCGTCTATAAGCTGATGCGTATATCATATTTGCTTATAAAACCAAAGCTCCTCAATTTTTCTTAATAAGATTGGTCTAGTTCTTATAATGATTTTATTCGATAGTCAAAATACAAACTAAAATTTAGTTTTAGTTCAAATAAAAAGCTTCTTAGAATAATTCAATGATATTAATAACATTTTATTTTTCAGGTTGTTCCACCAGATGGCGGTTGGGGTTGGGTAGTGGTAGCAGCGTCATTTATTTGCAACTTTATCGTTGATGGAATACTTTTTTGTGGAGGGTCTTTTCTGAAGCCCATTCAGAATGAATTTGCTGTAAGTACTAAAGTATCCTAACCATTTATTGTCATGCCAGTAGATCAGACCCTTGTTTATCCTGGATTCGAACCTTGGTATCGCCTTAAACCATTAAGATATGGAGGTGCTGTGGGTAGCATTTTTGTATTTTGTGACTTCTAATATGATTATTTTCTTGACACATTGCGTGATATTTAAATTCGTAAACCAGATACGTAACCAGTTTGAGAACTTTAAAAACAAGTCTACATATTTTGCGAATTTAATGTATCGATCGAACTGAGTAGAGTAGGTATTTAGTGTCATGTGACTCGTCGACCACACCCTCAACCTGACGAAAAGATCGTCACATGTGAGGTCATAACTATACGTACACAATAAAGGTGGAACAAAAGAAAAATCCGCCATAAATTTTATATACCTGTGGCACATTGATTTCTTTATTAATATCTAATATTAACTCAACCCGTCGCAGGTTCAAGTTCCACCAGTGTCAAGAATTTAAACATTATTACTAACGACTCAGGCTCATTACGCTTTTGCGACAATTATCCTGTTCCAATTTAATGATTATATGCATTAGTACATTTTTTAAATTAACTTTTAAAATTAGTCAGCTTTATTGCCGTGTAATTTTGTCAATTGACTGAACTCAAAAACTAATGAGTCTAATATTTTAGTCTAGTTCCGCATACGTAGACGGTTTTGCGTAAACTCGTGCATGGGTTTTCTGACGGTCTACATTAGATAATAAATTAGTAACAAACGGTTAATGTGCTTTTAGAGTTGCTCGGAAGACACCTTTCAGTTCCGGGATTCAACTCTCAGCTGTTACACAAGATATTCTTAGAAATACTGAACAAAAATTTTGCCCAACTAGCATTCGATCCTGTAGAAAGTGTGAACTGCAGTCGTGTTTACTAACCACTAGACCAACGCGGCGGTTTTTCTTTAACACAAACAGTAAACTATAGCGCAGTTATTGCACAAGGCTGCAATATATGTAGGTCGCTGCAAGATTGAATACTAATTAATGAGTAGTAAATAGATCTTGGTTTAAAAATAATAAGTCGTTAGTCTAGTTTTTTTGGCTGCTGTTCCAAAACTGTCCTAGTCGGACAGTTTCGGATCAGATGCCAAAAAAACTTATTATTTATTGGAGCTTATAATATGCGATCGATTTGCAAATGATTAAGTTTTATAGAGACATGTGGCCCAAATTCAACATAAAAAGCACCAATGACAATCGAAGCTTAACCTTAAAAACGAAGCGTCAGTGTCACTTACGCGATAATGACGGTAGAATTTATATTTTTGTAACGGATATTTTTTTACGTTTTCATTTTAAACTAGCTGTGCCAGCGACTTCGTCCGCGAGAATCGTTATTTTGGGTATCCAAATTACTTTTTGCAAACCCCGTCATATTTATAAACTTAAGCTTGTCTGTCGTTCTTGCAAATTAATCTTAAAAGATAGACATATAGCATGGCGGTTTTTTTAGATCATAAGGGGAATCATTCTTTCATACACATATTTTACGTATGCTCCAACCAACAACAACATTTTTCAGTTCAAACTCGTAGTTCCTGAGATTAGCGTTCAAACAAGCAAACAAACTCTTCAGCTTTATATTTTAGTACAGAGTATAGATTAGATTAGTTGTACCCGCGACTTCGTCGGCGTGAATTTTGTGCATCATATTATTTATCCACGACATCGTCCGAGTCCCGTCGTTTCGGCAAGTAATTTCAAAAGATAGACAAATACTGTCGCGGATTTTTTTTAGATTATTTGTGAAATCCTTCTTTCATACATATTTTTTAGTTTCTTGAACTGTCTTCTCAGTGCACGCAACGGAAGCACTCAAATTGAATAATTTTCCCCGTTTTTTTATATAATTAGGTTTCCCTGTTTTTTTCACTTACTTTAGTGTCTTAGCTTTTGTTGGTTAAAGCTAAAGCGTTCCTAGATAAATGGTCTATCCAACACAAAAATAATGTTTCAATTCGAACCTCTCCCTGAGATAAGCGCATTCAAACATAGTACAAATTTAATTTCTATGTTTCTCTTATTGAGTAGGTATTGTGAGACAATGCCGAGTTCCAAATTAGCATATAGTAGTTAATAATGTAATTTGCCTTCATTCATTCATGACAGCTACCATTTGACATTACGATTTTATGAAAAGCTATGACAAATCATTTAAAATATCATGTACGTACGTTTCTTTGTTATTAAAAATATTCAGTTCATAGATAAATAGAAGTTGTTAAATAAATAGTTTTAGAAGACTTGACAATAGCTGTCTTGTGAAATCTCTTCTAAACCAAACATTTGATGTTTATGGAAAAATCTTATTTATCAGCAAGACGCATTATAAATAATGAATGACTAATTTAGCCAATCAATTTACAACATTTCTTACTTTCCTTGGCTATTTGTCTAATGATTATGTCTATGTTTGGCGTTAGGAAAAGTCGCCGGCGCGGGCGGCGCCTAGGGAAGGCGACAGGACGCGACGCGACTCGGCGCAAGTCAATTAATTATTTACACCATTCCAGTTAAATGATACGTCTAGTGTGTGAAAATTTACTATTTTCACTTTCTCAGCAACGGCGCCACAATTTGTGACGTTAATCCAAACAGCGCCGCGAAGTTTTACCCGAGTGTTATCTAATACGTAACTAAAAGGTCCCCACAGTCACAGTTACAATATCCAAATTTTTCGGTTATGGTACAAACCATTTTCTCCTCGCATCAAACATTATTGGGATCGCTTTGCATTCATTCTCAATTTAAAAAACGACAATACAACAAAATTGAAAAGTTCTAAAAAAATGCCGATAAATCTAGAAAAACTTATTCAAAAGTATGGCCCTCATGTATACAAGAATGAGTTGAATAGGGGGAAAAACACCAACTGGAACTGGAAACATCTTGTTAGAAATATGCGATGTGGGTTACCAATCACCTTAGATAACAAATAACTATCTAACGCTAGAACCTTATTTATTAACCTTCGTTAACAATCACATGAGGGCAGTTAAAGGGCGTCGAACTTTGATGGCCTCGTCAGTATTAAGTCTGAAATTACAAATATTTAATTGACGGACTTTTAGTGTAATGGCCTTTTAATGGTATCCTCCGGTAATTTGAACTAATTAAAATTATTTACGCGTTTGTTTGTTTTATCTAAACACAATATTTGATAACCGAACAGCCATTTGTGGTTAATTAACCATTAATTAATTATTGTTTGTTTTTTGATTTGTAACGATCTTAAAGTCGCTAAATGGTATCTCAATAGATGTATTGGTCTTTTGCCAGACAGCCTAGATACCAAATTACCTACGTCACTTGAAATACCTGAGCAGGCTGCACGAGAAGATTTAAATAAAACACTGTACGGTTTAAAACGCGATATATCTTAGTTAAACTTACCTAGCCGTGGCCAGGGGGAGACGGGCTCCTGCGAAGTATCCGAAACGTCGCGACGTAGTTAAAATAATTTTTACTAATATGTGTATCACTCGCATAAACTACAGACAATTTTTATAATCTATACCAGCTCTTTTAATACTTCTAATAGTTTAATACCTTACTTTTTTACTTAGCACCTTCATACTTCACTTATCTTCGTCTATCAAATACGACGCACATATATGAGTATTTGCGCAAAGGTATTCTTTAATAGGAATTTGTATGTGCATTCATTAATGTGCATGTGCAAGGCAAATGGCGACATTTATTTTATAATTAATAACTAATTATTTGCGTTCGTATAATTTATGTGAAGCAATACATTTACTTCTATGTTGCAGCGTTCGGTTTTGCTTTAAACATTTTGCTTCGCAAGCTTACGAATAAGTCAATTTAATTTTATTCAACGGTTTGTTGGATATCATAAACAAATCTTTGGAGTGAAACTAAATATTACTGAACGCATATACAAACCCTATGTTAACGTTATTTGTTTTCTATTACCAGTGAATTTAGTCCCGTTAGCGTTCGCAAACTGCATACATACGAATGTAGAGTTTAGAGCATAGAGTTAAATTACCTTGCGTAATACTAGTAGGTAGGTACTTGGGGCCCCCAAACGACGAAAAAAAAAAAAAAAATTTTTGAAAAAAAAATTATTATAAAAGGGTTTTTTTTTTTTTTTTTTTTTTTAACCCCCCCCCCCCCCTTTTAAAAAAAAGGGGGGGGTTTTTTTAAAAAAAAAAAAAAAAAAAAAAAAAAAAAAAAAAAAAAAAAAAAAAAAACACGCAATAAGTTGAAACGAAAATTATTACCATTGCGTTGGGTATATACATATAATTCGTTTTTTGTCACTATCAACACGTCAACATACAAGGCCATTAGTTATTTAACATTTTAGTTTTTAATTTCAATAAAATCATAAGAACATTATTGAGGGTATTTCCTACATTTTTTACATATTCAATGTAAAATTATAATAAAAGAAGACTATAATATTTATCGTCATATAACGAAACGAATATTTTTGTCACAGTGCACATCATATATATACATACTCATAGTTTTAGGTAAAAAGTAACCCCGAACATATCTTAATCTTTTATTTTTGTAAACAGGTAAGCGATGGACAGGTGGCGCCTGTCAATTCTCTGCTGCAGGGCTTCTATCTTTTGGCAGGTCCATTTGTGTCTGCTTTGGCCAATAAGTAAGTATAGACAATTGTATGTCTTTACACGAGTCGTCGGGAGCTCTCTTAGAATTTGTTTAATATTTAATTGTTAGATGCTGCTACAACCATTTAACAGTCTTCATTGATAACAGTTAACATAGCGTAATATAAAGAATATCGAAATATATTGCTTTTATTATCTAGCTTTAATTATATTTATTCGCCTTATATTATAGGTATGGCTTCCGGGTTGTAACGATTGTGGGTAGTTTGATAACGGCCTCTGCCTTTGCGTTATCCTACTTTGCATCGAGTGTGGAATACCTGTATCTTGTGTATGGAGTTATGGGAGGTAATTATACTCTGCTTTATTTTTTTTAAGTTCTTTTGTTCAACTACGGTGATAACAAAATATTATAATATAGCACCTATTTGGTTATGGTTTTGTCAGTCCTTGTCCGTGTATGGAAGTACCACTTTACCGCTTTATGGCAGATTATGACAAATTTATAAAACGAGTAGAAATTTATAAATTGACATAATGTGCTAATAATTTTGTTTAAATAAAAATTCGCTTAACCTTCCGCAATTATTATGTAGTCGGGTTATAGTTTTAAACTTCGGCTTGTTAAAGAATGCAAATTTACTTCATTGAATTGTACATTTCAGGTATAGGGTTCTGCATGATATATATGCCGGCTGTGTTAACAGTTGGTTTTTACTTCGAGAGGTGGCGTGCCCTGGCAACTGGTCTTGCACTTTGCGGTTCTGGTGTAGGAACCTTTGTGTTTGCACCCCTGACTGCTGAGTTAATCGGAAACCTTGGATGGAGGACCTCAGTAGTTGCCAACGGAGGTTTGTATATTTATTTATTTATAATAGCAGCAGTTATATACACATGACATAACAGTTAACATGTTATAGTTAAAATACAATTAAATTTGATAGTTCAAATTTTAATTAATTTTTAAATGTTGCCTAAAAAGATAGATGTTTTATTAGATTTCGTTATGATCAAAATAATATTAGGTATAAATGGGTAGAACAAATTAAAGCACATAAGCGACATAAATCCAAGGTCACAAGATTACACCGGAAGTCTAGTTACGTTACATGAGCAAGTACAATATACATTTTTTTATTTACAGCTCTTGTTCTCATCTGTTTGCTCTGCGGTCTTATGTTTAGGCCCATTAACCCGGTTCGTGTGACGCTGGCCGACCAAAATGAAGAGGATGACACGTCACGGCGTCACGAAGAAGCTGTTGAAAAACTTAACTCTATGCTCAAGTTACACAATAAACTCGATTCCGGAATCTCAATGCCTTCTGAAATGCGTTTCACCAATAAAGTGAGCCCTCACACATGGGTGGGCGTCGCCAATAATACGCGCTATCCCACCGTTGACGAAGTGTTCCGTGGGAGTAATTCACATTTGAGCAGAAGGTCGTCTGCAACAGCAGGTCAAATCAAGAATCATTTGAATAACAAGCCTCTTTTCATCGCCGTGCCGGTGGCTGAGAAAGACGAACAGGAAGACTCTAATAGCAACATTGATAATGCTGAGCCATTGATCGCTAATTCCGTTAAAATCGTGACGCGGGAAGCGCGGCCGCGACGTTCACATGCCGATTTGATCGCTCGACCACTTTATCGTGATGACATTTTCTTCGGTGGCAGCTTGGCAAGGTTACCGCAGTACACGTCGCGAACGTCGCTTGGATATCATTTGGCTGTGACGCACGTTCCCACTAAAGAAGATGCACAAGAAGAACAATCTGGAAAGTGCAAGCTTTGCCCCGAAGCTGTGAAGCGGGCGCTCGCTACACTCTTGGACGTGAGCTTATTCCGATCGCCAACGTTCAATGTATTAGCGATCAGTGGCTTTTTTACTATGTTAGGCTTTTTTGTGCCGTACATGTATGTTAAAGAAAGGGCGATTGCCAACGGATTGAGCGAGACAAAGAGTGTCTGGCTGGTATCTGCAATTGGAATAACTAATATCGTGGGCCGTATTGCTTGTGGACTCATGTCGTCAATGCCGAAGGTCTCTCCCCTGTGGCTGAATAACATCGCTCTTTCGGCTGGTGGGATTGCGACAATGATAAGTGGCCTGTGCTATCACGACGCTTATCAATTTGGATATTGTGCAATATTTGGATTGGCTGTTGGTTAGTTTCTTTTAAACGTCTTTTGTAGATGCTCAAGAGGAATCTTTAAATTCCTTTGTAGTATAAATATATCTTTTCTTTTCTGTGTTAAGATTAGTCAAAATAATGTTTCGTTTTCTTCCAGCGTGTTTTGCCTCACTTCGATCGATACTGGTTGTGGAATACATAGGACTGGAGCAACTGACAAATTGTTTCGGTTTATTCTTGCTTTTCCAAGGTCTTGGCGCTCTCCTGGGAGTGCCTATTGCCGGTAAGCATTTCACAATAAAATAATTTTAGTCTACTTGGCAAGACGCCGAATATAAGGTATAAAAATATAATACAAGATACTTTCTTTTATAAGCCCTGAGACATGAGCCATCCTAGTCTACACAAAATAAACAAAGTGAATTAAAAAACATTTCTAATTCATTATAGGTGCCCTCATGGATCTAACGAAGAGCTATGACATATCATTCTGTGTATCAGGCGGGTTTCTTCTCTTATCAGCTGTCATGTGCTATCCAGTGGACTACATCAGCCGATGGGAGAAATCTCGAAACAAACTGTCCACACCAAAAGTCTGAATTAATCGAAGTCGTATTCTGCTATGAAATCTTCAGAGTACATTGTTATTCTTAGTCCGTTTTAGGACAGAAAACTAATAAAATAAGAATCTAAATTGTAAAGAGATAGTACATACAAAAGAGGTTTTGTCGAAGAAAAGTAAGAATTTATATATTATTTTTTGGCAAGTTTTCGTACGAAACTTCTAAAGATTAAAATTTTCACAATTTTCGGAAGACTTCTTTTGTTATCGCAGGTGCGAAGAATGTAAATGTACTATTTGGTCATCCAAACTGCCTAAAATTTTCCGTGGTTCTATTGAATCTAGATTTAAGTGTCCGAACTTAGCCTTCCACAATAAGAATCCTTCCATATACAAATACTTTGTATACTGTAGGTAAACGTAAAATTATCATGTACTTATAAAAGAAAGCGCCGGACGCAATGGAGTAAACTACCTGCGTATTGTATGCGAAATTTAGTGAATACCTATATACCGAATTTTTTCTCAACTGCCAAATTGTGTAAATTTTATGACGACTGTTCCTTAACTTCTTGTACTTAACCACTTAACAACGTTTACAGCCTCAAAGCGTATAGGATAACTGTTATCTAAGACTTAATTATAAAAGTACCTTCCTGTATACAAGTTCAAATTAGTGTATGCAATTTTAGGAATTTTCTTTTAGGGACTTTGTATCTTTACACTTCAAAATAGACCAATCATATGATGACTTATAGATGTTTGATAATGCATTTAACTCTAGATATTAGGTTAGTTTTTAAAGTACAAAAATCGATTTATCACCTTTTTAATTAGGCAATAAGTTTTTCTAATGTTCATTACCTATATTATTTATTCCTACTTTATTCAACTGTTAGGGTACCTACTGCAAGGAAGTCATTATATAGGCGTTGTTATCCGAATTGTGTGCTATTTAAGTGCCTTAATAGGACATAATGTCTACACTAATAATATATTATTACTATTTATTGATATTCTGGCATATCTTGTTATATAAATTCTATATTTGATACTTCTCATGGACTAATAGGACCATTATAAAATTACGCTCGTTTTATACAGCGAGTAATAATTTTAATGTATTTAATAAAATTGTGATTCTCTAAAATAAATGCGTATACTTAATTTTAATTAAAATAGTTATTATAGGACATTATTGTTATGTTTCATAAAATGTTATTTCGGCATTACTAAATGTCTGTTTATGAAAGTGTTGTCAGATTTATTCGAAATCAATTTAATGTGACAATAAAAGTAAAAATCACATTAATATATTTTCAATCAGCTTTACCCTGTCGGGAAATTAGTGCTTTTATGTAATTAATAGATCTGGCAACGTTAGTTTTTGACATGTATTTCATAATAATAAGAGCTATATGCTTGTTTACCACTTATTTTATTTTATTATTAGTGTAAGTTTAGGTATTTAACTGTGGCTGTGGTATATTGTATACAAGTACTAATATAATTATTGCTGTAAATCGTGTCAAGAATTCATAACCGGATTTTAAATTATAAATAACAAAATTGTCATTTGTTGTTTTCTTCACTACCTTGGAATTGGATTGCGAGAAAATGTAAAACAACAGTAACAAAGAAAAATATGTTTTTATAAGACGATAATTTAATTTTTTGGCGAATTATTTTCGTCTGATTTTTCATTCCGTGCAAATCTTAAAAAGTTGCATACTAGTATACAGTTAAACACCACAGTGCCAATAAAACACAATAAAATGTACAATATAACTAGGTATTTTATTGAAATTAATAAAATTGTTACTGAGTTTATATATTTTTTTTACTCATTCCTAAGTATCTGTTTTAGTGAAAGGTTCTATTAATCGAACAATTTACTATGCTTTTTAGGACTTCAAACCATGGTCTCATAGCCCTTAATGCAATGCATTTTAACAATTTTAGAGATAAGCGGCCCTCTGAAAATAAAAGTAGATAGAAAAACTCAAAATAGTCAATACAGATGGTCTTTATTGACAATTTTAGTATTTACATTATATTTAAGAGTTAGAGTTAGGTCCCCGCCTGCGGCCGAATGTCTGCACAACATTGACGAACCTGCAATAGTGAACAGTGATGAGTTTATTTTAAGGAGTGATAAACAGCCTGTAAATCTGTTTACAACTATGACAGAAAAGTATTGAATATTAGTAATCGAGTTTAACACTACTAGACTGAATTATATATGATATGGGCATATGTGTTAGTAGAAATGTAACAACATTAATCAAAAGTAACAATGGCCCAATTGTACCTGACTAATTACTACATATGTGTTATATCAAAAAAATCAGATTTTTAATACTATAAAATATTAATAATAGCTTATAAAGCCAGGACAACAGCTATATATATATTTTCTTTTCTTCTAAATATTTTTTTTCACTGTTTGTTCAGTTCCAATCGTTAGAGTTCACATATCGATTTCATTGTAAGATAACGTTAATATCGTCCAATATGCAATGATTTTTTCGCCTTTTATATGTATGGAGCAAGTAAAAATATTTTGATCATATACCTTTTTGTAACAGATTTCTTATGGACTCGGCTATCAATTGACATTTAGGTTCACTGAAAGTTGCCTTTGTTTTCATACATATTGTGTTTAAAGACTTGTTTAATTTACCCTCCCATAAACTCATTCTGCTTTTTACAAATTAAGATTAAATAAACTTATTTAATTATTGTAACCTCAAAAGCAATTTTTACCTTATTAAACTATGTTGGTTTAAAAAAATATATATTTTCCTACAGCGTGGTATTTGATATTTTAAAGTAAATAAAACCGTTTTTATGATTTGTCGCGAAATTTTTTTGACAGGTCCAGTACTAATACAAATTTGGGCATTCTTCTTATCATAAATTAATTCCTCAAAATTTAAATAATTTCATACCCCCAAAAATTGTTATTAAATATTTAACAATCAAAACCTACTATTATTTTCAGCTATTTTACCATTGCAATCTATTCTATTGAACATTTCATCTACTAATGTTGTTGTACCCAAATTGTTTTACAAAATAGTGAAATATATAAATAGTTTATAATTCACCTTCTGTTGTATTGGATCCTACGCTTAGCACGGCCTGTCTTCTTCTTTTTCTTCTGTTGCTTCTCAACTTTGGGAGTCTGTCCCTTGACCTTACCTAAAATATTTTAATTGCATAAATTAGTTGTATAACTTAACACAAACACCTGAAGGTAAAACTGTAAATATTAACAGTTTCTAACTAACATAAAACCAAAGATCTATATAAAAAGAGAAAGAAAATTCATGTACTTAATAAGAAAAACTATAACTTATGTTATATGTTTATTTTAATTAATATGGATATTAAGCTTAATAAGTCATTTTACACCAATATTTTTTTATTTTAATAATCTCATCTTTTAAAATCACATTACTACATTCAATATAATTATAGTTCCCTGCAGCATTATATGAGTAAGCAAATTAAATCTTACCAGCACGAGCTAAGGATCCATGCACTTTACCACCAAGTAAGGGTACAGTAAGATCTAAGTCTGTTGAAGAGAGCTCAGATACTAAAACATCATCTTCAAGAGGAGCTCCACATAAGGATAATGTAACTTCCTCAGATCCTACTTCAGCAAGAATGCGAATACGGTCCTAAAACATTTTGTAGACACGCTTTAGATTTTTAGCAACACATTTAACTAAAAAAAGGAGCTGAGGTGATCTTACATTAAAATGTTTATGGTGACAGAATGGTGGTTATGAGATAATAGTATAATTAATATGTTTATTTACCTTGATCTGACCAATGGATTCTTGTCCATTGACGTCTAGGACGTGCGTCGATTGTCCTCTTATATGCAACTGCATCTTGGAATATCTGGAATAATCAAGTACAACACGTTACAGCGTGGTCGTCGCACACAATGTTCACAACAAATCACACATTAGTTTTCTATTACATATCACCCTATGGAAATAACAATTGTGCATAAATACAATTTAAGAATTATTAATCGAAGGCGTATTAAATGTTTAAAATAGTTAAAATTAAATTTCTTTTTGAAACTAACCTATCAGCCAAGTCTGACAGTAATAGAAAGAAATAAAAATGGCGGTTTGAGAACGAAGTACTTGCTGAAAATCGGATAGTCGTACCAGACATTAGTGACAGATAGTCGTTTTATAGTTGCAAATGATGCACTAATATAACATATATATTTGATATAGAGTTTTAGTAACTTTTTAAATAAAATTATCATAATATTTTAAATGACAATAATCTCAATTATTTATATTTGCGTAAAAAGGCTGTTTTACAGACAGTATATTTATTTACCTTACCTGTGGTGAAGCTAAACGAACACAGCCAACACTTGATTTTTAAACGTTTACATTTTGACACATTTGAGCTCGTGATTGGTTATTTTTTTAGAGTGGCGGTACTGTATGTAAAAATGTATTGACGATATGACTTGATTTTATAATATTTAAAATATTCTTTAAATTATTTAGATAATGATTACATACAAAAGTGCTTAGGTCAATTAAATTATTTTATCATGTTATCGCGATTGATCCGAAAATGTTTATTCCTTTTGCTGCATTTAGCCGTGAATGTACTTGTTGCTATTCATAATGTTTATCACCGGTTATGTATTAAAATGTGCAATTCTCCTCAATATGACTCAATAATAACAGAAGTTGTTAGTGTGCGAGAGCATGTGTCCTCAATCACCAAGGAGCTTAGGCATTTAGTGGTTTTAGTAGACACTGATCAACATTCCCTAAATGAACTAGCCCGTATGATCATTTGGAGTCTTGTGTTTGGAATATCCCACATCAGTTTTTATGATATAACAGGTGAGAACTCTTCAAAATTCAATAATTGTAATCTAATCAAATGATGCAATATTTTTAGTTAGAGTTGCAATTTTTCTTAATCCATATACCTTGCATTTGATTTCCTTTATAAATATGATTTTATTTAATTTTTTCCAGGTGAATTGCAAAAAAAGGAAGACAAATTATTTTTTGAAGTTGAAAAACAAAAGAAAGGTATACCTGGCTGTATTAAGTGGTCAAAAATGCCTAATTTAAATGGGTACACAAATGGTATACATGCAAACACAATTTTTGTAAATATATTATCATATAATGATGGACGACCAAAACTCACCAAATGTATACAGGAAATATCAAGAAATACTATGTTATGTGAAAAAAGTTTAGATGAATATACGTCTCAAGAATTAGATTGGACATTTAAATCTAAATATCCACTAATTCCTGATCCCAATTTGGTCTTATACACTGGACCTTTATGTTGTACATATGGCCTCCTACCATGGCATATAAGGTTAACAGAATTTATACAAATTTCTATAGACCATAGTATAAATGTAAACAATTATTTAAGTGCTTTGTATAAGTATAATAAATGTGATTTTAGATTTGGTAAATGAAAAATATAAGATAGTGACAGGCCTAGTGTAGCAAACAAATGATTGCTTGCAATTTTTATTGATATTTTTGTGCAATGTGGTTCTGTGTCAAGCAAAGAAATATTATGTAATACTGTAACTTCCATAGAAATATTTATTATACTCTGTAAATACCTAATTGAATTGTTTTATTTTTGTGAGAAAGTATGCTCTTGATAGAAATTATATTATGGGTTTGCTATGAGATACCAGCTATAGTAAAACACAAAAGTAGTTTTAAATGTTTATTCACATAATGCATGAATTTAAAAGCAACTGGTAATATACACAAAGACTTTATTTACAGGTGAAGAAGCAAACTACTTCTGCAAATCTACCTGTAAAAGAAAATATTCAATTATTAATACATTATCACAGTTTGCCTATTATTAAGAATAATCTAGCTTTATACATAAAGATAGACTAAAGTAAAATTATCATTTTATAAATATGTTTAAAAATATATGGAGTGAAACTATAACAAAATGATGTAGTTTGTTACTATAAGTATTGTGATAATGGTTGACAGTAATCAATTAGCAACAACCAAAGTATCAAATTTATCTTAAGATGGATTTTCTTCAAAATAATTGAAACCGGGCTCGCAATATATTTTATATTATTAGGCTGGTGCCCCAGTGTTTCAAAATTTACATAAAGGAGAAAGTGTACTAAAGGCAACAGCGTGAAATTTGATAGATTAATTAAAGGGGTTTCATCATTGCTAACACACGCGATCGAAATACATACAATACAATACTAATGACTAAGTGAAGGAAAGAATTACAATGCGAAATATTTTAGAGTATATATTGTTAGTGCTTTACTTTTAGGAAAAGGTGTAGGGCACAAATGAAACCGTGGTTCAAAATTATATTTGATATCTAATCATTTAACAATAAAAATAAATACCACCTTTTATGCAGGTAACCTGGTGTTCATCTGCGATGTCTCGAATAGCTTCCACTGCGAGAACGCTTCCTGTCGTAATCCCTACGTTCGTACCTATCGTAAGATCTATCTCTATCCCGTCTAGAGTCTCTATCACTTTTATCATAATCCCGACCGTACCGATCATGAGACCTATCCCTTTCACGTTTTGAATCCTTATCGTACTTATCATAATCTCGACCGGACCTATCGTATGATCTATCCCGTTTAGAATCTTTCTCGTTCCTATCATAAACCCTCCCGGACCTATCGTAAGATTTGTCGCGTTTAGAATCCCTATTGTTCTTGTCGTGGTCTCGCGTTGATCTATCATATGACTTATCCCTTTTGTAGTCCCTATCACTTTTATCATAATCTCTAGATCTCTCGTAAGATCTGTCCCTATCACGTTTAGAATCTTTATCGTAAGACTTTTTGTCTCGACGGCGCGACCTATCCTCGGACCTATCTCGAGACCGCCTCCTCCCTGAACTTAATGATCTTGATCTTCTCAAACGTTTCTTGGGCTTATCGTCTTCGGAATCCCTACGTTTGGGTCTTTCGTCTCGTGAAGAATTATTTTTAGTGTCTTTAGCCTTTGAAAAGATCTTTTCACTTTTATGAGACTTTTCTTTTTTGTGTCGTTTAGATTTCTTTTGTGAATCACTTGAACTAGAGCTTTTGCGCTTGCGTTTTTTGGCTCTGGTTTCTTTCACTTCTTGTTCACTTTCCGAGGACGATGTACAAGTATTAGACGAAGAGGCTTCCGAGTCGCTGGATGATGATGTCGCTTTAGACTTAACCTTCTTTTGCGGGCTAGGAGTTTTATCATTTCTACTATTTTTCCTTTCTCTAAGTTTCTCTTCATGTATTGTTTCTAATTTTCGACCACCATCAATTTTGTCGACGGATTTATGGTTAGGCCTTTTGTCTTTTGAAACGCGTCGTTCTGCTTTCTTTTCTGGGGTTGCACTGTCTATTGGTGGTGGGGTTACCGACGACCCTTAAATAAAATAATGCCTTATTATGGAATGTTGTTATTCATTACAGTTATAACGATCAGAATAACAAAGAAAACTAAATTGTTTAGTTGAAATAGCTTTCGATACATATTTAAATGTATGTCATGAAATGTAATCATGCATGAAAGGTCAAATTAGTATGTACATGATAACAATATGATTATTATTGTTTCCGTTTTACCACAGTCGTATCACTTATTAATAATGTTAACGATTTTATCTTAATCTATTTTTCAAATACATATATACATATTTATTTTGTAAGAAACTACTCTTAATTAAGACTGATAAAAGTTAGGGCTCCAGGTTCCAATATTACATTTCTAGGTCTTCTCTCTCATACTAAGATTTAACAATTGGATTTAGTGCAATTCGAGGAAGGAAATAATGTACAGGTGCTCTATGTACTCAAAACTGAAAAACATATATGGGAACCGACAATGTAGCATAAAATAATATCAAAGAACCAAAGGTGTGACAAATAGTAAGATTTTTCAATGAAAACAAAGTATTGATAGAGACACAGTGAGAGTTGGATAAGCAAAAATCTGTTGTAAAGGAAATGAGTGGGAAATTGTTAGTTAGTGTTTAATAATAGCTGTACTGGGCTACTACTTACGAGTTCGCTTTGGTTTCTCTGGAGTGGTATTGGGCGTAGGCTGCTCCTCACCAGCCTCTCGCTGCTCAGCTCGACGCACCTCAGCTTCGATTTCTCGCGATGTCCGCTCAAACTCGTTTCGCTTGCGTCTTATTATTTCCTAAAAACAGTCCAAGTTCAGTTGAATTGTAGGTAGTTTACATTTGTAAATAAATTACATAACGCATATCGTTCATATTTATTACATACCTCTAAGGTATAGATGTAAGAGTTTGTAACGATAACGAAATACTGTCTAGGTACCCACTCTTCATACATAGCAATGGCTTAATATATTGGTTTTAGATTCGCGAATGTTGGAACGAAAAGGGGGAGTTAAACGGCTGAGAGATTGCAGCTTCCATCAAATGAAGTATTACGTAGACGTGTTTCGACTGACCTGCAGTTGTTGATCTGATAAATCTTTAACGTCTTCCTCGTCACCGCTGTCATCACTGCTGCTCTCGTACGCGCCAAGGCCTGCACATAAGACTTTCGATAACTTGAAATCTATTTTTCGTAAATATTACATTACTTATTAATGGTTATGACTATGAAGCGTCGTAGAAACAATGTATATATTTTCTACGATCACATGGTCATAGCCATTTAAAGAACCAAAAAGGAAAAGCTTAAATAATTTTAATGTTGGTTTCGAAGAGTAAGTATCTTTTTTATTAAATTTAGATTAGAGTGAAATGTGTTAAAGTTACCGATTTTCAATCATAGTTTTCGTATTATCGTATACTTAATGAGACCGGTTATGCGATCAAAATATTAACTTTTAAAAAAGATAACGATGTTTTTATTAAATGCCTTCGAGTCTTTAGTGTTTAGATCTTTTATTCTGATTCTTGCAATATACAATGTTACAATTCACGAGTCTAGTTTTATAGCACGATACACTTCTAACATCTATAATTTATAAATATTCTTACCAATCATTCCACTAAGTTGTTTTAAAACCACTCGTTGTTACAAATTAAAATTGCCAATACGGACAGTAATAAAACATCAAAACAGCAATGCTGAAATAAAATCTTTTTATAACATACATGGTGTCCATGTTTTCGATTACTTCGGGCCGGACACGTGCACCACCATGTATATTAATAGCAAATATCTAGCGAACAGCTCAGGGGTTTTATGTGGTTGACTAGATATTTGCGCGAACAAGTCTTTAGGAGAAGCACTCACCGAGCCCAGATGAAATAGCGGTGAATGCCTTAGATTGAGATGCTTTCATAGCGTTGAGGCGCGACGCTTTTACCATATAAATAAAACCAATATTAATCACACAATACATGTATTCATTCAACAGGCAACATCTGAAATAAGACTTTATTAGCGATGAATAAAAATCACAATTCACGATTCTTGCTGTACACTTTGATATAGGCAATTGAACACTAGAAATATAGTTTGAACAGTCAGTCACAGTTCGCGATGCATAGAGCAATGTCTTGATATGTGTGGCCTTTGGGTATAAGCCTATAAGAGTGGAAATACCTTGTGCGGAGGTATACCGGGCCAACTCTTCCTGGCTCACCGTTTGGATCTCTTGGTCCGTCACCTCGAGCAGGATTTCTGTTAGCGAACGTCGCACGGCCAACATCTGTGTACGGAATATTCAATTACAACATTTGCTAAACTAGAGCAGTGTTTTTTTTTTTTGTCAAATGGGACACTTCTAAAGAAATATACGTTACATACTAAAATAGGTACGGCGCAATTCTTTGCTGAAATTTTTTGATTAAGAAGTTAATAGTTATTTTTTGCCTTAATTTAAAATTTATTAAATCAAATATATAATGAAAAAGTATCAAATGTAGGACTATATGGCGTTGTTGTCATCAACAATATTTTATATGATTTTTAGCGACGTAAAAATTAACTTTATTGACTACAGGTTCCGTTGCAGCCCTCAAGTGACAGTCTAAGTTGAAGAGTAGCCCCAAGAATAAGAGGTGAAATGTATAATATTGTACAATGTACCAATATATATTGGTGATATAATGTCTAAGACTTATTAACATAATTCAGTACACTGTGGTTAAACATATTTTATAACATTTGATTGGTTTTATAAAAATGTCATTTGAGACTGTACTTGAAATTGATAATTTCTGTTGCTTGAGTTTCAAACAATCTGTTAACGTCCATTGTTAAGATAAGACGCGCAGTAAACATTATGTTATCTAATAGATCTATCATCAGCCACTTTATCGAAATATTTAAAATGAATCTGGACAGAAAGATTATCATGCATACATGCACAGTAACATTCTCATGAATTAAATGAGCTATTGTTATATAAAAAAAACATGTTGTCTACACTTACGACTTCCTGCATAATCTCCTCTTTGCTTTTCTTGACTAGGTCTGACTCTGTGGGGTCTTGCTTTACTTCTATTATATCTTCTCTTTTCACAGACTTTCCTGAGTCTTCCTTATCGGATCCCTCAGCTTCTGAATCTGAGTCCTGTTTAAAAAGACACATGTATACTTCACAATCTAGTAAAAAAATAAATGCAAGAGGATCTATGCACCACATGAGTAAATCCCACTACTATGGTTATGAACATTATAAAAAATATTGTCACTGTTGCCTAAAGTTTGAAAGGTAAATTGCAAAAGTTGCAAGAGAGATAGGTGTGTACTGTTTTTTTTTTAAGCAGAAATAGGATTTCTTTTTTAAATACATTTTAAATGCATTGATACTGACAAACTTGCTCTTCACAGGCATAATGGGAACACCTCCTGCCTCAGCTTTCATCCTCTCTAATGCCTCTTGTTCCAATTTCTTTTTTTCCAGTTCTGCTTCTTCACGGGCTTTCAATTCTTGCTCGCGTTCTAATGCCCTTTGCTTCTCCCTTTCCATCTTCTCTAAACCTGCATTAGAGGAACACGCAATAGATAAGTAGTGAGTTCTCAATGTTTATATAATTGCAGGTTAACATGGGGGCATAGTTATCCTACATGTTTATGATTTTTTTTTATTTATTTATTTATTACATTATAAAAATATTCTAACATTACAGAACAATGTCCATTGCGATAGAATTATTTAAGTTAAATGGACACAAGACTGTGTAAGCCCATTGCTTCACAAATGGAAATTAGTTGCAACTTTTAATTATCATAGGTATCAAATTGATTTACCTTCTCTAATCCAGGCAGGAAGTTGCCGTCTTTTGGCTGCATCCAGAGTGGTGTTTGGCATTGGAGGTAATATAGGCTCTACTATTGGGGGAAGATTTGGCTTATCCCTGAAAATCAGATATAAAAATATTGCTTATTTCTATACTACTATACAAAGAAACTATAGTAGCCATTGTAAGTATCCATTATTATGACATTAATAAAAATGAGTCTGCCTAAAAGCAGGGTTTACCGAGGAGTTCTAATTCTTGGAGGCCTTGTGTCCCGGGTTTTGCTTTTAGAGCGCCTATCACTGCTTCTACTCCTATCATCCCCATCATCTTCGCTTTGATCTGTTTGTGGAGCTGTCCAGTAACCATGTTGGAAAGTTGGTGTTGATGTTTCAGTAGTATATCTGTAAAGATATTATTATTTATGTATTTATTTGCTCTAAAGATGTTTTTAAACTTTCTTGTTTTTACTAAGAAGGGTTGTAAAATTCAGTTAATATATCATTTTACATTTAATTTCATACAAATGGATACCCCTTTCTTGTCTTGTATAGTATGCAAAAAAAAGAGTTGAAGAAAACAGAGTCTACTACAGTCATAGATAAGGTAAAGCAAAGTAAGTAAAAATGGTAGTTTGATTTCTACTGAAACAACACAGTTGTCCAATTTATTGTTATATATGGATCGCTTGATATTTACCCTGGAATAGCAGCTTCTTCGGGGACTGTATAACCATCTATGATGGGTGGTCCAGTCATAGAAGGGTCATTAACCTTTGGATCAACAGGACCAGCTCCAGGCCAGCCCCAACCTGGTAATAAATAATTAGAGTTAGTCATAACTTATTAAGTAATTAGGCGATTAATAGGACGAGTACTGATATTATTAAAAACCGGGCAATTAAAAAGCATAGGCTAAATGAAAATACAATGTCATACCCCATTGATTCCAAGAGTTGCCGCTCCACGAGTTACTAGTAGAATTCCATTCAGGCCCTGGTGGAACCGCCTCATTGGAGTTTTCAACTTCCATCGGCGCTTCGCCACCTTCCGTTTCGATTTTCGTGGGAGGTGGTCCAACGATTGCCACCGCATCTTTCATTGCAATCCATTGTTGGGCGAGGGCTGCCCAATCAACTTGGCTAGCGTCAATATTTTGATAAGCAGTAGGATTTAGTGCCCACTGCGTGGGATATGCCGAATTAGCGGCATCTTTTCCAGAGAACATGATAGCCACACAAACGCTATTATAAAATATAATTAACTACCATAGAAATCCTTAATAAAACGGTTAAAAATATTTGCACTTTTTTCGCTGTATGTTTAATTAATAGACATCCAAGCTTTTAAAACTGTACACTATAATTGTCATCAATCAGCAGCTGCACGGTTTCCATTTTTATGAAACAGATAACGTGGATGCCACAGACGATCAATACTATTCACAGATGTAATAGAATTGTGTGCAAGTGTAAGGTAATTGTTACAGATCTATTACGTTTTTTGTTTATTTAATAGAATAATATGTTTATGGACCAGTTTTAAAGGTTTGGTAATAAATAATTTAGCTAACAAATGGGCTCTTTATTGAAAGTAATAGAATTAAAATCATACAAAATTTTTATCTGTTACTGTTCTGTACCATTTCGAGCATATAATATTATTTCGCATTTGTACTCAAATAGGCCCTTATAAAATATTAAGACATACAGTTTTAAAAGACATGATTTTTATTTTCGAACTCTGATTAAAGTTTCATATAAAGCTCTGTTTCATTGTCTAAATATAACAATAGGTTGTTGTAATTAAAATTATTGCAACGTATAAGTTGCAAAATATTACAACTTGTTAAAAAAAATACACCCGACGTGTAAAGTGTAGATAGAAATAATATATCTAGAACTTCTTCAAGCCAAGAATTAAGAATTAAATTAGAAATTAATGTCATCAGTCGGAATGTATACATTTTTTTTCTCTAGTCACTGATAGATGTCACTACTGCAGCTTTGTCTATATATAATATTATGTCTACACATATTTCGACTCCTGGGACTAATTTAAGAAAGGGTTTAATTAGATTAGCCTCATGGGTGAAATACCTCTACAAATTTATAGATTTTCGTTATAAGGTTAATTTTGATTTGTAAAATGATAATATGAGCCAAGAGAATTTCAATTTACACGAACATTACCGATAAATAAGTATCTTCTGTAGTAAATATTTTTGGTAGGGAAAAATATGTAAAACTTACAAATAATTACATATAATAAAACGCAAAAGTAATAAACTTATTTTTTTAATTCTTCACATAATGTTTCACATTCACAAATGCTTTCTCATACATTTTACAACATCACTACACTGTACACTTAAAATCTATTTATACATTAACTTAGTGAGCATTTATCACGGCTTTCAGTGATAAAGTTATGCAAACCATTGATAATAACTATTATAATAACACTTATGCAATAAGAAGTCTTTTTGTGTCTACATTTAACTTAAAGCTAGTAACGGTTCTTCTGGGTCGTGTTTGATGTTCGAAAGTTTCGATTTTTTCCATTGATTTTTCTTTGTCTCTGTCTTTTGTTTTGTTGCAGCTAATTTTGCCTTCGACTTCGATACTTTGGGCGATGCTGTCGTTTCGAGTTGTTCTAGAGTTTCGATGATATTTTTAGGTTTTGTTACAACCTGTCTAGATTCTTCACTGACCTCGTCAAGAGTTGCATTCTTATTGGCATATACAACAACATAATGGGAGTACGCTGAGTTCGATGGGGTGTTGATATCGGCAAAATCTTTGAAATTAGCGAACTGATCATGATTGTAGTTTGGCCTAGGATTAGCTATATACCCGAGATTGTAAGATGGTCTTCCGTGGCCATTGTTGTAAAAGGATAGACCGTCGCTGTAATCATCCTCTTCATTTTGGGACAAAAATGTGCCTCCTCTTATGATACCGAAATTACCAGAACCAAGCACACTGGTGCTTGCATCTACGATGGGTTCAGAAGCTGGTGTACTTTGTTTAGCGAAATTGTCTAACGCTCTATAGCCTCCGAATAGAGGGTAGTTTAATAACGACCTGTATGAATTTGGTCGTTGACTAAAAGCGGCTTCTTGGCTCCCGAATCCAAATTTGTAGTTGTTCTGTTGCCTCGGCTCGAATAGATTTGCAAATGATGGAAAGAATGTCTGTGAATCACCAACTACTTCAATTGAATGGTCATCTTCTATTCTGGCTGCGTTTCTTGAATGCGACCTTAGATTCGATGGTGGTGCTATAGCTTCAGAAATTATTTCAGACGATTCCGCAGTGAGATCACCAGAGTCTGTAACAAAAATATATGGTATGTTAAAAAAATTAAAGTATTTAATTTCACCACTTATTTATTTTCATTTTTCGAATGGGTTAAATGTAGGATGGATCTTAATAATGTAAGGGTTTTGTCTACTTTCCCACGTAAACTCGAAGGTTTATCTAGTCTCGCTCAAAACAAGACATTTCTGAGTACAGGTAAAGTGAGTTGTATAAAGTCATTCTTCCTGGTCGAATAACTAATGTATGTGAGGTAACCGGGAAAAGCAAGCGATAGAAATTATTTCCGTGTTCCACATCTCGTTTATGCTTTATGTACGAGTTCATAGCTGTTTTTGCCATACTTAACGTATAACGCGTTAGGATAGACTTATATTATAATTATGTTTTTATGACAAAAGGAACCTAAACACGCTTAATCCTCACGGCTTTCTGATCTGTGGTTGATGGTAGACACCCTAACGGAATTTGGATATTACTAATTATTCAACATCCAGATTTCCAAAAATCCAACATATTTAAGAAAAATAATTGGTAAATGATTAGAAACGTGTAGTTGGTTGGTCGTTCCATCAAATCCATTGTTTATTATTAGTTATACATTGTTAGACCAGTTAAACACCGATTTAATAGTATGAATGCTGGGTTTAGTGCCTCCTATGCAGTTATATCTACGACACTTAATGCAAATTGATGACATATATCGTCAAATTTTAGTCTCTTCGTTTCATGGCAAATTTTGATGGCCATGAAAATTAGATGTAATTAGCAGTTCCGTTGTCATATTGTCCTTTACCGAAAAATAACTACCGAATTAGTATTACATATATGGACACGACACAAAGAAAAATATAATTGTGCCCGTTGAAGGATTGAGAAAATCCGACGCTAATATTTACACCATTATATTTATTATAACTTAAAACTTAATACCATTGTTAATTATTATTGTGTCATATAAATATTAAAAGGTTATAGTTTATCTATTTATACTAATAAATGAGATCAAGACATTTTCTTCCGTTATCGTGGGAAATAAACTGAATCCCGTTCGATTAAAATTCATAGGATTGGTTAGTAATGCGTTCTTATCGACCATCAATTACGAATCAGTTAAATATCAGTCCTTGATAATGTTTGCCGGGTACATAAAATGTCAGAAATATGTTAACTTTTCAAATTCAGTTATTCACCTAAAATAACATTTTCATTACAGAAGCATAAATATATTTAAACAACATTCTACATATAAACGTACTCTAGAGAAATAGTCTACTATCTATTACGAAGGTAGCATGTATCCTAAAATTTTCCGGTAATTAAGCTCTAATATACCATACCATTTGAATATGTAAATAATAAAACACACAGTGACAAGTAAAGAAAGCTCGGTTTGTGTCAATATCCCTGCGTGTTTGCTTAACAGTGATTACGTACAATTATTACGTGTAATACTGCGGTTTCCGTTTGGTTGTCACCTTTTTAATTGTATTTAATAACTATTATTTTACATACTTTCTCCGTTGAACGTTGTGCCGATATTATATGTAAGTTTCTAAGAATAAAATTCTTATATATTATTCTTAGACTCTAAGGATGTAAAATTTCGGCAACTTCATTACTTTTCTTACGTATTCCTTTGACTTAAGTAAGTTGCGAAGACTTCTTGCTTTTTTGCTCAAATCTATAAACAATTCCTAAACGCGAAGTTGCACCACTCTATTGAGAGTAAATGATTGACTTTTCGCCTTTTATTACCGTATTGAACACGAATTAAATGTTTAAAAGAAGTCGTTCGTTTATTGATATTGTCCTTCGATATATAAAAAAAACAATAAAATAGAGCAACACTTAAGTAGTTCCTATTTACGAAACATATTATAAAACCATTAGTTACGTATATTTGTAACACATAGTTGCGAAGAAGAATCATCGTCAGATTATGTATTCAGCTAACCTTTCCGACCTTCGACCTAGTGTACAAATATTTATAGAAATGTGCATTTTTATCGAAAAACATAGTTTTGAAACTGTGTCAAAGGTGAGGAGAAAGCTCTGGGTTACCGTTAATAATGAGTAGTCGTATTGAAATACGTGACTTATCTGTGTTTTACGATTTCGGTCACGTCTCCAATGAATTGTTTTGCTTTAATTGGATAGGTCTTTATTGCGCGGCGGGTCATGTGGTAGGTACTTTCAAATATGCCGCTTATCTTAAGCTTTGATTCTGTCATTAAAAATATTTAGGATGTTAATATAATGTTTCAAGACATTATTTAAAATAATGTACAAATTTCTAAAGAGAACAGAGAGATGGAATCCGTTTCCTCTACATAGGATATAGGCAGACTTATTTTCGTGTCGTTGCAATGATCGTTTTTCTCTTTTACTTAAAGACAAGTTGTCGATCGAACTTATGTGTCCTAGACGACGAAACATTTTTTTGTGTTTCCCTTATATTCCTATACCTATACACCTACGAACGTGGTTAGTGTTTCGATGGTGAAGTTATAATTTGTGTCTACATCGGTCATTATTTCATAGAATTGTCTTTTTATAGCTATTTTTACAACGAGGGCTATAAAAACTGATGATAGAGCACTTACATAGAGTGAAAGCTAGTCTATGCCCGTAAAAATATATAACGTAGGTAACTAAAAGATAGTGATTCCAAGTTACACAATGAGTTTTTACTTAACTTTTACAGCAAAATATAATGAGTTTTCGAATTATTTTTTGTACTAATACTGAATGAATTTTTGTCTTTTTTACTGGTAGACGTGGTCATTGCCCCCGTGACTATCACTAAAACTTAATGAAAGCATATATTTTGCGTTTTAAGCAGTTAAAAGCGTTTTTTTACTGTAACTTATTGTACTAAGTATGAAAATCTAGATATTAAATGGATAGTAGAATATCGAAATTCCGTCCGAGTTACAAATCGCCATCCGTAGATGAAAAGGCATCGAGATAATCACCTTTCGGTTTCAGTCTGTGCATTTCCGAATATCCGAAGCCAAAATAGGTTGAACACGAAAGCGCATTTTGCTTAGATGTTATGTGGCTGAGTTATTTTACCTACCATTAAGTGAACTCAAGTTGTCTGTCCTCCACCATTATGAAAAAAAGTCTGTTTAATTTAATGAGTAAGGCTTCCGTAAACTACACACACTAGCAACGAAGTAAGTTTCAAAATATACATACGGGAAAACTTACCCAATACAATAATTATTATATTAGGAACGCAACTAATACTGCGGTTTACCGATACAAAAACGCCGTGTAATATAAGTTATATAGCTGTAATTTTGGATGTTACGTTGATGGTATTGCAAGTTCCAAAATTTGGCAACTGATAACTCAATTTTCACCATCAGCCTGATTTTGTTGGATTGCTTTGTTCTATAACTCCATGTAGCTTCTAAATTACTTTCAAAACCACAAACAAAATCATTACGACGTAAGCGAATTTTGGGTTTATCAAAATGAGCTGGTTATTAAGAAATCAATAGACTAAAACCTAAACGAGGATCTTTCATTTTTAGACGATTTTTGCCCCGGATGGAATTCCGAAGAAAATAAATTACAAATTCGTTGACTATACCTTGTATCTTTATTATATTGTAATTATTTATAATGCATTATGCATACAAATTTCACCGCCTAGTTTTTAACATGGCTCTGCCTTGCGTACAATTAGTTTACTAGCTGTGCCCGCCACTTCGTCCACTTGAAATAGTTTTTTGGGATCATATTATTTAGTTTTGCAAACAACCTCCTCAGCTTTATAAATTATACCTATTACCCACGACGTCATTCTCATCTTCACGACGTCATCATTCTGCCATACATATTTTTGGGTATCCTGTACCGTTTTCACAGCGCACGCTACGGAAACTCGCAAAGATGAATATTTTTCCACATTTCCCACTGTTTCTCGCTTTTATTGGTCGCAGCATAATGATTTAAAGCCTTCTGTGATAAATAGATTAATAAAAACAATAATAACTTTTCAATTAGAACAGGTCGTGCCTCAGATTAGCGCGTTAAAACAAAAACACTCTTCAGCTGTATAACATTACTAAAGGTGTATGATGCGAAACATAAAACGATCTCGAGTATACACAAGTAATTTCTTGAACCCTTACGAAATCAAAATAATAGAGAGCAATAAGAATTAAGAGTTGAGCCACGTCTTTTCATTGTTACGACCACACTACGCAACGGGTACTTAAGCTTTCAATACGCGATTTTGCACTTTGTTAAATGTACCACGACCATAGTCAACATATCAAAGTGCTTGTACCTACGAATGTCGTCTTTCATATTACGTATTCTAGAGAAACAAAAATAAAATCCTCGTACGTAAAAATACATAATTGAATGTTCTAAGTTCTGTGTTAAGGAAACTGTTTATTATATTCACTAACTGCGTTGCTAGGTAACGCGTTTTTATTATAAGTGGAACTTTAGAATGTAATTTTAAAACTGAAATCCCGTTTCTACCCCGTGGAATATGAAGGGAATACAAAGAATTGTATTCCCTTCATATTCCACGGGGTGAAACGGACATTTCTATGTCCGTTTCACTGATAAGTTTTATTTACTTGCTCAGACATTTGTGCCGTGCCCGACCAAAACAATCTACTGATATCCCGGGATTCGAACACAGTGCTTCTTAACGGAATGCTAGGCAACATGTTTAACCATTTAGTGACAGAGGCGGTCAAAAGATAATATAATAGAATCTATCTATACTAATATATAAAGTTGAAGAGTTTGTTTGTTTTTTTGTTTGAACGCGCTAATCTCAGGAACTACGGGTTCGAATTATTTTTTTTGTTTTTGTTAGAGCATTTACATTGGAAGGCTATAGGTTATAAAATATCGCCCTGTGACTAATACACGCGAAGATACGGCGAGAAATCCGAAAGAGATTCATCTTTATGGGTTTCCGAGGCGTACGCTGCAAAAGCGGTTCCCTTAAAAATAAGTATGACGGAATGGTTCCTC